TCTGAGTTCATATTTTACAATTCTGACTTTTCTTCTCAGAATTGAGAGTTCTTCAGAATTTGAGACTTTATATCTCGCAATTCTGAATTTTTATCTCACCATTCTGACAAAATGTTGGAATTTTGAGATAAAAACTCACAATTACCGTTTAACTTATTTATTTTTGTTCTGTGGTGGAAACTTCCATAATTTCTGTACATTTATGAGCTATGAAAATGTCTTTGCACTCTAGAGTTGCGCACATTTCTTATATATATCTTTACAGGTAAAAATCAGTATACTTTGGGCATACTGTATTACTATATACAGTATATATGACTATATACAGTATTGGAATTACTGTATTAGTATTAACCAATCAGCATCCAGGATCTGTTTTCAGAAAAAACCTTCTACTTCTCAATCATCCAATAGTAAAACAGTTAAAATCATTGCCGCCAAAGCCACCTTGTCACATTGTGATCTCACAGACGACCACACTATAACAATAATAGCGGATAAGAAACGCAACAAAACAGAGCTTTTCATTGTCCCTTGAGCTCAACGCAGGTTTTTCTCAGTTTCTGCAATCTTCAGATATCTGCCAGTACTCCTGTCTGATCGCAATGAATTGAACAGATGGTCCAGAACTAAATCCGCCTTTGGGTTTTACACTCTGTTTACCTTTAGCTGTTTACCTCAGCTGGTACTGTTTTGTCAAGAATACTTTGAGATCCGGGCCAGTGTTGAAACCTTGAAGTTTCTAAAGTGCTGGTGTAAGACTGACAATAAACCATGTGTTAAGAAAGTAATAGAGCAATGGCAGACGAGGGAGCATTTTAGAAACCTGTTTGGAAACAATCACTATTTCTGCTGTTGCATTTATCGCTGCCGTACTGTCGGAAGATTTTTTAAAATTTTTTTTTTACAGCCTACGTTGTCTCAAGTTTTTTTGCTTTTTGGAGCTTAATGAAAGACTGATTTTCTCCTATTTATTTGTCTCCTCAAAGAGATACTTAATATCTCAGAACCGCCTGGAGAAGCTGAAGCTCGTGTCGCTGAACGCACACTGACACTTCCACAAACTCAGTTAATAGACGTTTTGACACGTCAGAATGATGGACTCCTTGAATGCGCTGACCTCTCTCCTCTGGACACCCCTTTCACCCTCCCTCTCTCCATTCAGCCCTTCATCCCTCCATTTCCACCCATGTAGATGAGACAGAGATAGATGAAGATATTTCTGATGGGCAGCCATTTCATAGCAACACACCAAATGAGTATATATATATATATATGTATATATATATATATATTAGCTTTTATTTTTTCATTTTAATTTCAGTTTACAGTTTAGTCATTTTGTTAGTTGTTTTGTATTTTTTATTAAGATTTTAGATTAACTTTATTTTTTTAAATTTCGTAGTTTTAGTAATCTTAGTACTTCAGCATAATTTTATTTCAGTTCAAGGCAACATTTCTAATTTATTGTACATTTTTTCATGTAAAATTTTTATTTTATTTTCAGCTTTTTAATAGTTTTATTTTACTATATATACTATAAAAATAAAATATATTATATTAGGGGTGTAACGGTTCACAGAATTCACGGTTCGGTTCGATACGACACAGTGGTGTCATGGTTCGGTTCGGTACGTTCTGTACAGGGGTAATTGGTTACTTCGCAATGCTGGAAATATTTCTGTTTTAAACCATGAAGGCGAGTCAGTGGATATCACACACAAGCAACGTCTTAATCTCAGTCAATTCACTATACAGAAAGTGAAAGTAAAAACAGAATGACGGAGTAATGACGGAGCTTTCGGCATCTGACGCCGCATATTCTCTCAGAGACAATGAGAGACGAATTTACTTCAACATGATAACGGTATAGCTAACTGTTTTAATTTATTACCTTAATATTTCTCTTGTGGCCCGTAGCCTACATAGTAGAAAAAAAATGAGAAGAAACATATTTCGTGTTAAACAGGTTTTTTTTTTAAAGTCAGTGCTTCAAATAAAAGCTTTTTATTTCATTGATTTTATTGATGACTGCAGTGTTAATATTTTAATTGTAGCCCTATAATTGTATAATAGACCTGTTTTAAAATTGTTTAAAAAAAAAACATTTTAATTGAGGAGTAAATAGCCTAATCTTTTGTTAATGGACTCCTTGAATGCGCTGACCTCTCTCCTCTGGACACCCCTTTCACCCTCCCTCTCTCCATTCAGCCCTTCATCCCTCCATTTCCACCCATGTAGATGAGACAGAGATAGATGAAGATATTTCTGATGGGCAGCCATTTCATAGCAACACACCAAATGAGTTCTGGCTGCCCCGGCCCACCCTCCTTTGCAGGAGATTAATCCTTGCCGACCATGTCGTGTGTGTTGAGGTTATTATTTGGAGACAAAATTGAGTTTACTTACTGTAGCTAAGTCTGATAAAACCTCATCATCGTCTTTCGACGCACCCCAGCAAGAGGAGGTTATCGCGGGGCCTTTCGCAGTGCGTGTCCTGCGTGCCTGTCCGCTAACGTTACGCCACTGGGCAGACAGCACGCTGCCTGTTATGTCGTTTGGGCTGCCTTGTTGAGCTCAGTGGCACTGAGAACATTATATCTCACACACTTTAAGTGGTTTTATTTTTTTTAATGTAATAGGATTAGTCCAACGAATCAAATCGTTCGGTTTGTAATGCGTACCCAACCGAAAGCCTCATACCGAACGGTTCAATGCGAATACGTGTATCGTTACACCCCTACTATATATATAGCACAAGGAATGGACTGAGGCTGGGGTCAAGGCATCAAGAGCCACCACACACAGACGTGTCCAGGAATTTGGCTACAGTTGTCGTATTCCTCTTGTTAAGCTACTCCTGAACCACAGACAACGTCAGAGGCGTCTTACCTGGGCTAAGGAGAAGAAGAACTGGACTGTTGCCCAGTGGTCCAAAGTCCTCTTTTCAGATGAGAGCAAGTTTTGTATTTCATTTGGAAACCAAGGTCCTAGAGTCTGGAGGAAGGGTGGAGAAGCTCATAGCCCAAGTTGCTTGAAGTCCACGACATTCTAATTTATTGAGATGCACCTGTATACACACACACACACACATGCACACATAACATTTTTTATAATATATATAGTGCAGTAAAAATATTAAAAAGCTGAAAAAAAGCTGAAGATAAATTTATATATATATCATTCATTTCATTTAGTTTTATTTTTAATTTTCTGTTTTCTTTTTCATTTCAGTTTACTGTTTAGTCATTTTGTTAGGTACTTTTGTCATTTTTATATTTTATATTTTTTATTAAGATTTTTGTCATTTTTGTTTAGCTAGTTTTAGTAATCTTAGTCCTTCAGCATAAATGTATTTCAGTTCAAGGCAACATTTCTCGTTTATTTAACATTTTTTCTTGTAAAATTTATATTTTATTTTCAGCTTTTTAATAGTTTTATTTTACTATATATATAATAAAAATAAGTGTGTGTATATATATATATATATATGTGTGTGTGTGTGTGTGTGTGTACTTGTTTATGCTACATTGTGGGGACCAAATGTCCCCACAAGGATAGTAAAACCTAAAATATATATTTTTTCTGAAATATAAATTTTTTTTTTACCTTGTGGGGACCGCAGGCCCCCACAGACCCCACAATGTCAAAAAAAAAATTTTTTAAATAGTAAATGATGTTTATCTGAAAGTGTAACAATGTTTTTCTTGTAAAATTTATATTTTATTTTCAGCTTTTTAATAGTTTTATTTTACTATATATGCCATAAAAATGAGTGTGTGTATATATATATATATATGTGTGTGTGTGTGTGTGTGTGTACTTGTTTATGTTACATTGTGGGGACCAAATGTCCCCACAAGGATAGTAAAACCTAAAATATATATTTTTTCTGAAATATAAATTTTTTTTTTACCTTGTGGGGACCGCAGGCAGGTCCCCACAATGTCAAAAAAAAATTTTTTTAAATAGTAAATGATGTTTATCTGAAAGTGTAACAATGCAAAAAAGTTTTCTGTAAGGGGTATTTTTAGGGTTAGGGGATAGAAAATATAGTTTGGTCAGTATAAAAATAATAGAAGTCTATGGAAAGTCCCCACAATTCACAGAAACAAACGTGTGTGTGTGTGTGTGTGTGTGAACTTTTCTTCACTGTGGAATCTTCAAAGGAGTTTGTATTTTATTATTTTCATTAGCTTTTTATGGTTACTTGCAATCTATTTGATGTTTTCTCTGTGACTTACTCTTTGAGAACTTCCTGTCAATGCATTTTTTCTTCATCACAGTGGCACAATTGTAAGTTCGCACATACAAAGAGATCTATTACTTCTTGGACTGTAAAGTGGAAATTTGACATAAAGTGAAGTCGAGCTCTCACACGTCTGCTCCACTTACACAAATCAACTGTTCTTTGTATATGGAAGTCAATGATTGTTCATTGTGAGGAACACCATTCTATAGTGCTTACCTGACTTCTCACTTCAATAGTAAGTGACTCTTGAATGAAGCAGTAGCACTGATGCACAAAGCCCGGTATGTATTCAAGACATGCTGCTCACAGGCCTAATGTCTTAGACTCGATGCGTATTACGAAGTGCCCCCAGATTTATAGGCACACAGAGACCCCACCAGTTGGGGACTGAGCCCTCTGGGATGGGAGGCAAAGATTGTGCTCATCCCTACCATACTATCGTAGCATCTAAACACAAGTCGGCCATAAATTTGAGGAATTTATTCCATAGTGGTGTTATGTGTCTTTTTTTCTGCGGGCGTTTGATAAAAGGTTTTAAAAATATAGCTTGAGCTATATTGATGTGCAGTGAAATATTAGCTTGTGCGATGGATTGTTGTATTTCTTTTGACTGGACAGTTGAATAGAAGAGTTGCACCCAGTTTGATAAGCATTTTACAATTTGCGATTGGTGTTTATTTGTATCATCTTGCAAATTTTAACCACAAATCTTTTTGTTTGCCACCTTCCTTTTCATGTGACTTCACAGGGCATCTGTCCCTCCCCTGTGTCCACAACAACTTAAATGAAGACCTGCGATGTCCTGACACTGGTGTCCACCTCTCTGGACAGGTAAGGCCTCACGCCACTTCTGTGCCCATCTATCAATAAGGATCCAAGGTTATTTGACATCTGAAACGAAAATCAATTTGCTTCCTGTACAGTGACACGAAAATCATACTAAACCCTTTGCTCGAGCTCAGAAATGTGTAAGAGTGTCAATAGGTAATATATTGTTCTTATTTTTGGTTCTTATCAAGCAATTATGATTAAGTTACAATGAAATTCAATTTAAAATGGTATTACAGTAAGACTACCCTTTCAAAAAAGTAGCTTGTAGCAGTGTTTTGTTTTTTTAGCAAATCTTTTAAATGAACAATTCTTTCTGCAGTTTCTCTCTCTCTCTTTTTTTTTTTAAAGTGCCAATTTTAATACCAAAAAATAATTTAATAAATTGGCTTAGTGGATGATTCAGTGACTCGCTCATAAATAAACAGCAAACAAATCATTCTAATATTCCTCCCTTTTTTAAAAATCAGCAAATTTTAATACCAAAAAATACCAAACAAATCATTTAACAAATTAGTTTAGTGGTTGATTCAGTGACTCGTACATAAATAAATAAATGACAAACAAGTGTTTTAAATAAACGAGTTGTTCTTAAGTTCCTCCCTTTTTAAAAAATGTACAAATATTAATACAAAAAAACAACAACATAATAAATTGGTTTAGTGAACAATTCAGTGACTTGCTCGTAACTAAATTACAAACAAATCTTGTGAATGAATCGTAAAGTTCCTCTCTTTTTTGAAAAAGTGCCAATTTTAACCCCTTCCCCCCCCCAAAAAAAAAAATATATATAATAAATAAATAAAAATAATGATTTGGTTTAGTGAATGATTTAGTGACTTGCTCATAACTAAAAAACAAATATTTTTAAGTGACTGAATCATTCTAAAGTTTCTCCTTTTTTTTTTTTTTTAAATGTGCCAATTTTAATACCAAAAATAAATAAATAAGTAGATAAATAAATCTTTTAAGTAAATAAGTTGTTCTAAAGGTTCTCTCTTTTTAAAAATGTTCCAATTTTAATACCAGAAATGAATGAATGAACGAACGAATGAATTGGTTTAGTGAATGATTCAGTGACTTGCACATAACTAAATAACAAATAAATCAAAAATAAGAAAGAAAGAATTGGTTTAGTGAATGATTCAGTGACTTGCACATAACTAAATAACAAATAAATCAAAAATAAGAAAGAAAGAATTGGTTTAGTGAGTGATTCAGTGACTTGCTCATAACTAAATAAAACAAACATTTTAAAGGGGTCATATGATGCGATTTCATTTTTTCCTTTCTCTTTGGAGTGTTACAAGCTCTTGGTGCATAAAGAAGATCTGTAAAGTTGTAAAGACTAAAGTCTCAAATCCAAAGAGATATTCTTTATCAAAGTTAAGAGTCAGCCATACCTACCTAAAACGGCTCGTTCGAACACGCCCCCACATATCTACCTCACTATGCGGGAAGATTTGCATAACGCCGCCCAAATGTTCAAGCAAAGAAAGAAGGCGTAACTTTTATCCTCGCTGTAGTATTGTTGTTGCCGCCGACATGTTGTGAAGGCGCTGTGTGTTTCGTTGTGAAAGCGAAACTACTTTGTTTGGTCTTCCAAAAGAGAACGATATCCGCTTCGTCATGCCTAGAGCTGATCCGTGCTGGTCGCTGAGGAAATACATCAACTTAGTGCTGTGGATCGCCGGATCGGCCCTCACCGTTTTCACCGCCCCTTCGCCGGGACCGCCGGGACCGCCGTTCTCGATCCCGCCGCCTAAGCTCACTCTTGCCCGGCCTCAGCTCACACTAAGCCGAGGCTTTCGCTCACGGTAGGACGCTG